AATAGTTCTTGCGTTCGCCTTAGCCTGAATTCATGAACCAAGATCTCATGACCGAACTTTCTCACCTTCGCTTGGTAAAGTTGTGGCTCTTGATTTGGTGAGTTAAGATCTTTGGCCCAAAATGTTAATTATGAAAAACAAAATGTTAATCTTGACGGCTTGTAGATTTGCACTCACATACGGAGAGAAGAAGGGATATCCAGAGAAAGACAAGTAAACGATATGTGGGATTATTTTATTTTATTGATACGAGGAGATGTGTTTGGAAGAATAAGTGTTGAAACTTTTGCTTTCTTTTTTTTTTGTTTGTGTTAAGCAAGGAGAATGACATTGTCTGTTCAGGAGATCAAGTTTGAATAATTGAACTTTCCTAACAATCATGGCCTTGCAATACTTGGTTTTCCTTTTTCTAATAAACTCAGTTATCATTATTAACAAAGGAACTAAAGGAAAATAGTTGCACAACTCAAGGAAGGAAGACATATATGTTGTGATATTTGTAAGTCATGAAGATGGACACAGATTGATTGTTTGTCCTGAGAGCTAATAAACCCTCAGAAGCTTTTTCCAATACAGAGAGAGAGAGAGGCCTACGCTCCAGCAGGGGGCTTCTCTAGATGTACCTGCAATCCTGAGTACCTTTTGCTTTTGGAATCAAAAGGATAATTGCATTTCATCTAATCACTCACACTTCCATCAAGATTGTAGTTTTTTTTATGCCTCTTGTCGTTTCAGATTTAGATAATAAAAACTTAAACACATGGGTTGAAGTTTTAAAGACCAACCATACATATAAGTCTGAAAACATTATTACTTAACATTAAGTTACTTGACAAGTAAAATAGTCTTAGAGAAAGAGTCTGGAGTTGAAGTCATCACCGATTACAGTCATGGCCAGGTGCTTAAACAACAAAGAAGAGAAAACGAATAACCAGATTAACCTCAAGAAGCTGATCATGTTAGACGATTCTCAATCAGAGAATTACAAGCTGTGTTTATGATAGAAAGTGTACCTCATCATCAATATAATAAGTCTTGTGTTGGCCTTAGCCGAAACTCACGAACCAAGATCTCATCACCAAACTTCCTCACCCTTGCTTGGTAAAGTTTTGCTTCTTGATTTGGTGAGTTAAGATCTTTGGCCCAAAAGGTTATGTAAAACAGGAAACCTTTGACGCCTTCTACATTTGCACTCACGTACTTGTCAAACACAAGGTTTGTTTCCTGCGTAATACAGTTAAAGAACCATTACAAGTTTGAAAGAAGATGATCAATTAAACCATTAAAAGAAGAAGATGTCGTCACATTTTCATCGTTTTCTTCGTCGATGGCTGTCTTAATGAGCAATTCGATTAATTCCTTATTTTTAAGGTTAACATCCAAAGATGGTACATCAGATGGTACATCTTCCAATTTCACGGTTTCGAAGTAGAAGTCCAGATTATCCCAATCAACATCGTAACCCTAAACATCAATAAACACAAGTTTAAACAATTTGGGGATCTACATAAAACCCTAAAATCAAAAGCCAAATAATTGAGAAATTGAACCTCGCTCTTTATATATTGCTCTCTAAAAATCTCTATCTGTCTCATGAATTCCGGTTCTTTATATACTCCCCTGCGCCGAATTCGTATTTTTGGTTCCACCTCTGCCTCAGCCTTGGACTCATCAGGAACTGTCTCCAACTCCGTCGAATCTCCCAGATTCGTCATCTCGGTATCACCCTCCGCCTGCGAATCTGTCTTCTGCTTCTTCAGCGGCGGAGTCTCCGTCTCCGTCTCCGGCAACTTGGCGATTTCGGTATCATCGGCCTCTGTCGAAACACTAGACATCTTTTTCGTCTCTTTTTTTTTTTCCGTCTAAGCTCGTTTTTTTTTGTGTTTTCTTTCCAGTAAAATACAATAAATTGTTTGTTTTTTTTTCAGTCATTGTAAAAAGATAATACGATTATTTCAAAACAAACCTTCCAACTTTTTGATTGTTATAAATCTATCCTATCAAAACCATCCAAGTCAGAATAAACCTGCAAGTACATTTTTTTTTTTTTTTGACATCGACTCGGGAGGTCTACTATTAATCGCTTTATTATTATTTTTCGACATTTTTTTTTTATAAACAGTATATATTTTATTGTGACAAAAAAAAACACTATATATTTTATTTTAACTATATATATTTATTATAATTTCCCTAATTTTTAGTGGAGTTTTTAATGAGAATTATAAGAATGCTAGGATGAAACTTGAAACTCCGACACTTGTTTCTTATGGAGTTTGGTTTATAGTGGTCACTAGTATGTAACCTGACGATACTAATGTGGAATAAATTGTTAACTGTGTAGTATCCGTAACCTATATTGATGTTTATGCTCTTAAGTCACACATGATCAAGGACAATAAATGTGAAATGAATTTCCCCATAGCGATATTTGTAATCATACATATTTGAAACAACCATGCTCCTGCTTTTATATAGAATGGCAGGCTCATCGATCGGATTAAAGTTCATAACAAAACTGTATGTACTTTTTCTTTTCTAAAATATATCCTCAAGTTTTTTTTTTTTTTTTGAAACTAATATCTTCAAGTTGGTAACTCTATATGTCGGCTTTAGCCTGACTGATATCTTACGAGCAAATTTCCGCACCTTTGCTTGGTAAAGATTTGGCTCTTCATTTAATGAGGTAAGATCTTTGGCCCAAAACGTTATATGATACATAATACCTTTGACCGGTACTTCATTTGCACTCACATACTTCACAACMCAAACTCAAGCTTTATTCACAAGCAGGCTTCCACATTCCACATTTTTTAGTTMGTTTGGACTATTAGAACTTTTTTCCCCTTAGTTAGTTTGACAAGTACCGTGTATTAGTTGACAAAAAAAAAAAAAAGCAACCGTGTATTATATTTGGATGAACGAAATGTCCAAAGTCCAACTTCACATCCATATAACAAAGAAGTCCAACTTCACCAATTGACCACAATCACCTCAAACTCTAWTTCATAAGCAACCGTATTTTGGACCGAACATCATCAGTTACAATTTGACTCGAGCTTCCTTCGGTGATTTAATGGGGCCAAGTGGCTTTAGTTTAGTTATAATAGTTTAGCTCGAAACCCATTTCTCTTGTAAAGAAAAGAAACGCTCTTTTTGAAAGTTTATTACAAATTTATACCTCAAACCTAATTGCTTTTTTAACTGAATAGCAAAGAAAAATAATTAGCATAGATAACCAAATGCAAATTAAATATGAATACCAAATCAATGGATATGAATAATGTTCAGAAGAAAGAAAACTACAAGATGTTTCGGATAAACAACATATACCTCATCTTCAACACTATTCTTGTGTAGGCTTTAGCCAGAACTCACGAATGGATCTTATCCACAAGCTTCCACACGTTTCCTTGGTAAAGTTTTGGCTCTTGATTTGAGAAGGAAAGAACTTTAGTTTGGCCCGAAATGTTAGCACATAAAACCTACGTACAAAGATGTTTATTAGGATAGAATGTGTACCTCATCAATATAATAGTTCTTGTGTTGGCCTTAGATGTAATATAGATGTATTGATACTATGTGGTTTTCTGAATTTTTGAGTAAAATCTTTAAACATCATTTGGAAATGGAATATTTTCTTAAAAAATATCTCAACTTCGGTTTATTTATCAATGTTGCATCATGTTGAGAGTGGCTCACTTACCCGCAACGTAACGCCGCGGCGATATTCGGTGCTCAGTATAGGATCTAGGTGATCGACACGGGATTTTGGTGGTCATATATTATTTTGTTTATTCAATTTATTTTTGTTTCCTTTAATTCTTTCCAATTCGGCTCAAATATGGTTTTAAAAATTTGGTTATCAAAAACGTTAGTCTATTTAAACCATATTAGGATATCCTTCGGACCTTCGCTGCTAATTTTAGATTTTACATGTTGTATCAAAATTTCATAATCAAATTAAATGCTTTAGATGCATGTTATATTTATATACTCCTATATATAAGCTTTTTAAATAGAAGGATAAATTAATTCAACTGAAACTGATTTTATTGATTACTATACCTTTTAAGTAATAAAAATAAGTACACTTTCATGATCTACCCTCAAAACTTAGATAGACTTACTTACAATATGTGTATATATGAACTAATTCTTCTTTGGTTTCACCTTTATTCTTACAAAAACATTAGAGTAATTAGCAAGGTACGTACTTACGCTAATGTGTCCTTTTTTTTGGGATCAATTATTATCAAACCGATAACGCTCCAACGCCCTTAAGCATTGGGACGAGAGAACGATTGAGATGGAGACTCATGACTTGATTGGCTCCACCTACGAGCTGCCCTCCTATGAACACCACCGGCACTGTCGGGCTGCAACCGAGCTGAGCCAAAGATTGCTCTATCTCTTTTCCTCTGCTAATCTCCTCTAGCTCATAGATTGTTGGGTTCACGCCAAAGTCGACGAAGAGAGTCTTGATTGTGTGAGACATGCAACACGAGTTCTTGCTGAAGATCACGACAGGCTTCTCGGAGACCATCTTTTGTATCTTCTCCATCGGTGATAATATTATGGGTTTGGTAAAGATTTTACCGTTTAATTAGAAATTTAGGATATGTTAAATTTTTGACTTAGGAAAAAGTTGGGTGTTTTTTTGGTTTTTAATTGGAATGAGAGGATCAGTAGTGTAAATCGGAAATATTGAGGAATTATGGGACTAAGATGAGAGAACTGAGGAGTGTCTTTGAGTTCTTGTGTTTGATGTGTTATGATCGACTATAAGGGTTCCTATATATAGCTTCTTCACGGATGCATATAGCCCAATAATGAAAAAGAAGATTCTAGTTCAAAATCTTGGTTCTATCATCTTGTGGGCTTAATATTACGTGTGTGGTTTTCAAAAATATATTAACCATCTATCATTAATCAATTTTCTTCTTCTAAAATATTATAGATACGAACTGCTTTATATATACTTCAATTTATGGTAAGAAGTTATGAACTAACACACGTAAATTTAATATACTTCAATATATGTTTGTAAATTTAATAAATTTTCATGTTATTCTAAGTCTAAAATAAGTTTTTCTTACTTACTTTATTCGAAAGCAAATGTGTATATTCTTACACCAACTTGATGAATGCGTTTATAAGTGTGAATACGAATGTTTAAGTAGTTCTGAACATATACCAAATCTAACTGAATTAAAGGGAATAGTTTCCAAAGAAAAATCAAATAAGAAAAGCACTACAAGAAAACATGTGATAATTTGACCAATTTTTTTGTGGTCAAAAACCTTTTCGACTCATTTTTACCAATTTTCGACGAATGTTTATTTTGTTAAAAATTGGTAAAAAAATATGACGAAATAAAATAGTCGAACAATTGCGACCAATTTTTGACGAATTTATAAATTTGTCAAAAAATGATTAAAAATTTGTGACAAAGAAAATCGACTGAAAATTGGTCAAGAAAATTGATTGGTTTATGACCAAATTTTTTACCAGTATAATGGTCAAAATGGTCGGTACAGTTACTCTTGGCTCTTACAAACGAAGGATCAAAAAAGGTTATCAACTGGGAAAAGGGACAAAACAGTGTTTGAGTCTTTTTTTTTTTTAAGCTGTGAAGAATAATATTTGATACGGACGAATAATGTTAATGTGATGTCTCTATAGTACGGCCTTTCACATTTATTGAGCTGTCAATAAACAGCAATGTTACATTACTTGTATACGTACTCTTGAGCTGCCAAAAAGAAATGTGTTACAAATTATTTCATCAATATCCTTGAACAAAAATTCTATACATTATCCGGGAGTTTGATAAAAAACAAAATTATGACAGTATAATTATATCTTGTGACAAAATTTTTTGATAAAGAATCTAGTTATATAATTCTTTTTTTGTGTTCGTTAGTTCTATATAAAACATTCTACGATATTTGATTTGCATTCAAATCCTAGCTTTTATTATGGCACAATCCTAATTGCTGGCCTCACGACTCTCGCCGGCCCTTTGACGGATTTTTTATACGCAATACAAAGTTTTGCTTCTTCAATATTCGCGAAAACGCGAGATCGTATGATATTATCTCAAGAAGTAAGAATATTTTTGTATGACCACTTGAGATAAAAATGCAAAATTTGTGGTTTCGTTTTAGCCTTATCGTCATTCATGAAATCGTATTCTACGATGTCAAAAATAAGAATCAAACAAAACTGAGCATTATTCCCAATCCTACGAATAAGCTTTATGGAAGGTCAAGCTCATGGCCAAGAAGATGGATTTGACAGGGAAGCAGCCACGTAGTATCCCAAAAGTAAAACAACTAAAATGTAAAGTCATAGTTTTGCTTTTTCTTCTTCAAGATGGTAAGAGTCGTCATTCTTTATACCACTAACAATACAAGGTTATCATCATTTTCACGTACCGACACATAAGATGGTATATGTAATATGCCAAATGACATCCAATTCTGCAACTTGCCCGTACCGTCCTATAACATGGAATATGTTAAAATGAATGCAACTTGTTCGTATATGTCAGAATGCAATTCTTTACACACTTTCTTATTTTAATGGTTAGAAACGTCATTTTCTATCATGAGACTGATGCTATATTTTTTGGTAGATGGATAGTGAAGAATTAAATGAAGGATTTGCGCAAATTAAAAAAAAAAATGTTTTTAATTGGTCATATAAATTTGTTATAAGATCCATATCACAAATTTACGTAATTTTGCAACAAAATTTTCACTTGCTAGTAGCTAGTTAACGATCAATAGTTGACACTTTTTTTTAATCGTACAATCACTC